TTCAAATTTACATCCTTCAGTCATCAAGAAGAGATTTGATTTTGTTTAGCAGGTGGTTTAATGAAGCAGAGAATGTATGATGTGTTTTAAATTTCCATAAGTCACAGGCAGAATAACATGTTTAATACTTCCGTTGCAAAAGAATTTCATTTAGATGTTCTAGATTTATAACATTACAGATGTTGGCCTTTGTGGGTAGCTAGTTTTATAATGCCATTACAACCTTATTCATCTAACCCAGAGGGTCTTATCATTTTGGAGGGAAAGAGTTATTGACATTTTTGGGAATCTAATGAAGTTTATGAACTCTTCTTCAAGAGAAAAGAAAATGTGGATTGCTTTTCACCTGCAATTTTTAGGAGTTCATGAGTCTTCTAAAGCTCAACTGTGGACTCTAAGTTAAAGATTTCTGATCTAACTACTCTCTAATACTAAGCTGTCTGACAATAATAGATTTGTTTTCTACATTACAGTCAATAGAAAAACAGTTAATGTGGGATTTAAAAGCTTGAGCTCTGGAACCAAGGAGACCTGGATACAAATCTGAGTTCTGCCATTTAATAGCTATGTGGTTTTGGTCAAATTGGTTGACCTACTGAGTTTCAGTTTCCTAATCTGTAAAATGGGAATAATAACAGTACTGACTTAATAGGGTTGTGATGAAGATTAAATAAAATAATACCTATAAAATGTATACATAACACAATGCCTAGCATATGTTAAGTGCTGAATATGCTAATTTTTAAATTATAATCAGGAAATGGAACTATTTTTCCTTCCTAGATATTTGCAATAATATGAGGGTAGTTACCGTTGTTACCTGTAGAGTTACCTCCTTCGCCAGGATCTAATTAGCTGGCTGAGTGGTGAAAGCTCTGAGTACTTTGATCTCAATAACCACGTTCATTCATTAGTTCCATGGTCAAGAGTTTGATACCCCCATCAAACTCCCCCCCCAATCTAATGAATAAGAGTTAACAGCTTCATTTTTAGCAGGAATCTAGTGTTCTGTGATTCTTGAGTGGCAAACTAGAGCAGTTTGTTTGCAGTTTGAAAGATACTGAAATATATCTGTAGACAGACTATATGTACTTTAGTCACCGTTTCATCCAAGGCACCAGAGCAAAGGACTTGTCATATAGAAGACATTCAACAAGGATTTGTTGATGGAGTGACTGAATTCTGTTAGGATAGTAGAAAGTCTTCAGAGAAAAAAATCATTTTTTTCTGAGTGTCTTTAAGTTAGATTATATTTTCAAGACTCTCCTTAATGTGTTATTAGAGTGCCCACTCTGGAACTAGTTGCTAGGATTGGAAACTTGTCTGCCTTATTACTAGCTGTGTAAACCATGGGCAAGTCATCTCGCCTCTCAATGACTTGGCTTCCTTATTTATAAAATGGGCATAATAATAGGGCTACAGGCAGAGGAATGAATTAATATAAGAGAAGTGTTTAGAACAGTGCCCCCAATATATTCGAGAAATCTTAACATTATTATTATTTGTCAGTTATTACTGCTGCTATAGTAGCCTCACGATCCCCTCACTATGGTGAATCCCATTTATTTGTTGTTACCGTCCCCTAAACTAAAGTTCGCTGAAAACCTCTCTAAATTTAGAAACACAAATAGCAAACTTTGTCTCACATGTAATGTAACTCTAAATTTTCTAGACTCTATTCTGCAGAGCCGACAAAATGTTAGGAAATTTTGTTCTTCCATTTTCATTTTTGGAGGATCAAGTAAAGATGGATTTATTTTGACTGAATGTGAAAACAATAATCATCAATATGGTTGCAGCAATTTCTGTCTGCTCGTTCTGTACTCATCTTTTTCCAGTTCCAAATATCATTTGCATGGACCTGATGATGTTGAGTATGTATATTGCAGCAGAGTGATAGCTTCCTTTTCATATTGAAGCTGAAGCTTCAAAGGGAAGATTAAAGGAGTGTTTGTTATCTATCTGCACAGGCCTGATATGAAATTCTCAGAGGCCTTTAGGATAAACACAACTCTGTGTGTGTGTGTCTGTATGCCTTTTCTTCTATGTAATTCTATTGTGGTGTTTGTATTTTGTTTAAAATGTCTAGTTTCAGACTTGTTGGAGTCTCTGGCTAAAGGATAATTGTTTTCAGAGTGAAGGATAAGAATTAGAAGATGTGGGCAGGATTTGACTAAATGCCTCCTAAGGAGTGTAGAATTCTCTCGTGTGGGGTCATTTTTCCAGAGAATGTGATGAAGATCATCCATAGGATATGTTTAATGAGACAAGATCAAGACTTTAAATGTGTTGTGCCCAGCAGAGAATAATCCATGGTACCCTCCAGTGAGGGATGATATTGCTCACCTTTTGGCTTTGTCTTTTAGAATTATCCTCTGTGTGTGTGTGTGTGTGTGTGTGTGTGTGTGTGTGTGTGAACAAACTTTCTTTAGGGTTGTTGCACAATTAAGACTTAGAGTAAGACGAAGGGGAAAAGGTAGGGTAGCAAGATTGTTCTATACCTTCTGAAAGTGAAAGGAACTAAAATTCCACTTCATGCCATTCCATGTCAAGTTCTACATATGATTTTTACTGACAGAAATATTTAATTACAACATCATCAAGATTAAGGCAGATTCCGCTATTTAACATCAACTCAATAGACCTGCTACTTTATTTAATACTGTTGAATTCTTTCTCTGTAATCAGCCTTCTTATGATACAGCTACCATTCGCAGAAGCAATACTCTTAGTGTATGTGAACTTATAAGATCTTCTTAACTAAAAAGAGAAAGCAGGAAACCAGCGTCACTTTACAGTAGGTAGAGAAGGGGACTGAAAATGTGCGTGTGCATTGGAGTGGGGATTGTGGGGAAGAGAGGACAAAAGAAGAGGTTAAGGTCATCAATAACATGTTTTACCTATTGAACAATTTGCCAAGAGTTGGCCTTTTAACTGCCCAAGCATGGCTCCATTTTGTTTTCTGGGTCAATAAATGAGAACAACATTAGTTAGCGAAGTTCCTGCTATTGCCATCATATACATTTTGGAAGGAGTACACCCCCCCACACACAGTTGCACAGGCTCACATTCTAATTTCTATTTATATTGAATTGGAGGTTGAGTAATGATTGGAATCAAGGGCTAGAGCAGTGCCTCCAGAGAAGATGGGAAACAGCAAGAACATAGAAAATTGCTTGCCCCTTTGATGATTTACTTGATTAACTGTGTTTTATAGAAACGAGTTTGATGGAAAAGCTCTTCACAGTGGCCAGGTACAGTGGAAACTGCACCATCTGCTGGTGGGGGGGGGATTGACCTGTCATACTAATATATACAACTTGTTTTAAGTTACAGCCACTCTCAATCTACATATGCCTTCCTATTGACATGGACATCCTTCTTCCCACCTGCTGCAGCTTTACCTTTTCCACCCCTTCCTCCTATTAGTCCCTCTCCCCCTTTCCACTGCAGATGTCAGAGCTGTCCTGAACTTTCCGTCCCTGTCATCCAAGTATCTCACATTTCCCTTCACCTGATTGCCAGCCCAGAACTCTTCTGGGAAAAGAAAGGAATAAGAAAAGAACCAGGAGGCTTCTCCATCTTCTCTTCCTTATCTCTGATAATTCATCTTCTCTTCCTTATCTCTGATAATTTCCCACAAATGCATCTCTGAATTATGGCAACACATTCCCACTTATCTCCTACTTCTCCATTTCCTGAACTTTAGTCTTATAAAGAAATAACCTCGATACTCACTGGGATGATATTTGTCTCTAACGTAACCTCACCTTATTTCAGCCATGTGTGTGCTGGAAGACACACCTCATTATTACCTATGTACTGTCTTTTTCTTAATCTTTTATTTTGGGTTATGGATTCTTTTAAGAACTGAACTCTTTCCCAAGGAAAAAAAAGTGTTCAAATGAACGTGTACTCTCCTGAGAGGTCAAGATGAGGATAGAAAAATATTCATTCTATTTAGTGGCATAGAATTATGTCCATTGCAGGAATTAACATGTGGTTACTATAAGCAAGATTGGAGTATGTTGAGGAGTGAGTGGGAGGTGGAAGAAAACAGAAACTACAGACAACACTTTTTGAAAATTTCACTGTGATGTGAAGGGAAAGAGGACAGCAGATGGAGGGATTTGAAGAAGGTAAGGGAGGCTTTGCTTTATTTTTATGGCAGCATAAATACTGATGGAAAGGGCCAAGTTGAGAGGAAGAGGTTGAATATATACAAGAGAAAATCGATATAGAATAATGTAAGGTTCCTGTGAAGGTAGGAGGAAATGGAATCCAAAGTACAATAGACTTTTGTGGGTAGCCATCATGTAGAACATTGTTTCTATGGGGGAGTACAATTTAGATTCCAAATAAGTGACTTACAAATGATCCTTTCTGCCATTGCCATTTCATTAGTTTGAAGACTTGAAGGGTTATTGGTTTTGCCAATAATACCCCAAAATAAAAGAGGAGATGGGATGATACAGTGGACTGCAAAAGCCCCAGTCTTGGCACAGACACTGAAATGCTAGGTGACCTTGTGTCATTTGTTCATGCTTCACCTGTAAAATTAAGAATTTAGACCTAGAAGTATTTGAGGATGTGTTGGGGGGATGATGTTTTGGTTGTTATAACAACTGGGGGTACCACTGGTATTAGGTGCTGAGGACCAGTGATACTGATTGTCCTGTAATACACAGGTTGTCACAACAAAGAATTGTGGCCCTCCAAGCCTGTAGAGCTCCTGATGAGAAACTCTGGACTGTGGCTAAGTAACCTCTTAGGACCTTTCCAGCAACATGGTCAAAACTGTCTAAGGAGTTACAGTGAGTTAAATGCCACTGAGAATCTTCCAAATCTCAGGGACAACCCTTTCGTTTTTCTCAAAGTGGGTAGTGGCTTGGCTGGTTATTGACTAGCAAGCTTTTTGGACTAGGTGCTGTCTCTACCATATGCCAACCAAGACTGAAATACAAGTTTGACTTATCTCCATTCTTTTCCTTGTATTTCAGGTACTATTGGGATATTCAGCCCCAAGGTGAGTGCTTTTTGGCCATTTATGGTTTTACACTAAAGATATGTGGATGGCATTGTTTACTTCTGCGTCTTCTAAATAAGCTTCTACACAGAGTGATATTAGCCATTTCTAAGGAAAGTTAGTGGAGTGTTTAATTAACCTTCACCCTGCTGGGCTCCCCTGCTCTGCTTTTTAGCAACAAGAGGCTCTGATGCATCTGCCTTCTGAGTGGATTGGTGCTGGATTATTTTACAGAACCAAAGCTATAATATGCTTTTACTCCTTGAGCTTTGTCACATGACAACAGGATCCGCTAACATTCAAATAAAATGGTGGCCGAGTCCATAATAAAAACCTTGGGAGGGCTCCAACTCAGCTAATCCTTCATTTGCTCCAGAAATAAATTCCAGTATGTTACCTCCTTGGTCACAGTGCTTTTCCACACAGCCTGCCTGTCTGGCAGCAGAGAAATGTCAGAAATGGAGTAGTGTTGAAATTCCCACTAGAACAATGTTATCACATTTTAATATGAGCCCACTGCAGCCTCTGTGCTTCTAATTGCTTTCAAACCATTGTTTTCCTGCTTTTGCTTGATGAACCCAGCATCTGGCATGATTCTAAAAACTACAACAGACAGCTGTGTGCAAAATTAAAAAAAAAAAAAAAAGGACAGGATTAGAACATATTCTTAAAAGGTTCAAAATTGGAATTTTTTCCCCGAATTCAGTTTGAAGGGTTGTCTTTCTTTTTAGTACTCTGGTTGAGAATGTCAGAAACATCATTCTCAATATTAACTCTTAACCTATTATAAGTGGGGGATTTTTATTTTCTCAGAGAATCAGGGAGAGTTTTAGATCAAGCTTACAAATAGCTTTATGAACTATTTTGCTCTAAAACTTTTAAAATCAATTGTAAACTTTCCAGTTTTTCCATTCTCTTAATATTGTCAATGTATCCATTCTCAGTGAGCATAATACCTTAGAGAAATTCAAATTGTGAGGAATGATATTAGTTTTATGAAAATTTTAATTTTCCTAGATCATACTTTTAGTGTATTTCAAGTCTATTTAAGGTTTTCTTCAAAATCAAACTTTAAGAAATAAAAAATCTTACATATATAAAGCTTTTTGACTCTTGTAAATTGGTCATAGTATTTATAATATCTTAAATAATGCGATGTGGTGTTGCCATATATCTCACTGTCCTAAAGCACTTATGGCTAAAAACACAGACTGAGAATAGAGAATTATATGTAACAGTGTATTTTGCTTTGCAAAGTGCGAAATATGCTATTCAGGCAATGGCCCTGTATAGTTCAGGGTTTAACAGATGTCAGTCAAAATCCACAGGGGGCAGAACATGAATGTGAACTGGCAGAAATGAATGGAACTGTGAGGGTAGAATTAATTACCTAAAGGAGAAATAAAGAATTAGTGTCAGAGCTATGGTATAGTAATGTGTGGAGAAGAGAAAAGAATTCTGGAGTTGAACACAAGAGAGACTATATGGGGCTACAAAGACAAAGGGCAAATCTTAACCGGCATTGCAATCATCTTCCGGTTGACAGCAACTTCCACACAGCTTTTCTCTCTTAGGTAGAGCAGGCAAGGGGATGGTTGAAGAGTTCACTTAGAACAGAAGACTGTATTTACTTCTCCATGACGATTGGATATATGGAGCAAATTCTTTGCTCATTTAGAAGTAAATGTAGGGAAAGATCAAGTTGGAAAGCCCATACTTGTGTCTTGGCCCCAGCCTTGCTCCTCTCCCTAAGACATTTTTTTGGGGGAGGGGGTTATTTTTTACCTTTTGCTCTTTTGATCAGATCTTAGCTGATTGCTAAGTGCTTCAGAAACTTGCAGGGTGTGTGGGGCCGGTAACAGGTCTCTGTAAGGTACTACAGGACAGTTTAGGAATATGAAAAGTATAGGAATATGTAAATAAGAGAACAGCTGACAGAAGACTTTAAAAAGCCCTAGAAGACTAGGTAGTATTGGGAAGGGAGTGAGAAAAGACAGAAATGATGGCCTCAGATTTCCTTATCATTTTTATCTATGGCAGGATCCTCGTGCCTGAAGATGATGGGATGAATTTTATTGACTCCAGGCATTTGCCTAAATACACACTTGTATTCTTCAGGATATGTGGACTAAAATAGTCTGGTGCCTGGAAGGAAAATAGTTTTTTTTTTTTTAAGATTTTATTTATTTATTTGAGAGAAGTGGGGGGAGAGAGAGCATGAGCAGGGGTTGAGGGGGGCAGAGAGAGAGGGAGATGCAGATGCCCTGCTGAGCAGGGAGCCCGCCACAGGGGCTTGATCCCAGGGCCCCAGAATCATGACCTGAGCCAAAGGCAGATGCTTAACTGATTGAACCACCCAGGTGCCCCAGGAAAATAGTTCTTAATTATAAAAGATCCCTTATTTATAGATCTCTTTAGTAGCCCACAGTTAAACATCTGGTTATGGAAAAGTCTGTGATGAGTTGGTACAATGTGCTTTAAAGTTTACCCTTTAAAGAAAGATGCTTGGGAGGATGGACTATCTAGGCATAGAGAAGGTTGCAAATAAAATTTTTCTTATCCATCATTCCATTCAATCCCAGGTTTAATATGGTGGTGGAGTGACCATTGACTTGGCATGGTAGAAAGAGCATGGACATTGAGGCTTGACAGACCTAGTTCAAATCCTACCTATACCATTTAGCTAAAGGTCATCTGACCTTAGCAGATTGCCTAATTGCTCTGAAACTCAGCTTTCCCACCTATAAAATGGAGGATCTGCAGACACCGTGCTAAGTCCTTCATATGCACTATCTTATTTAATTCTCAGAACAGCCCTACAAAATAGGTACTAATAAACCCATTTGACAGACATGGGCACTGAGGCACAGAGAGGTTGAGAATCATTCAAGGTCATGCCCCTCAAGGATTCTAACTTGGTCAGGCTGACTCCATAGCATTTGCTTTTTAAAAAGTAATAGCTTTTGGGTGCCTGTGTGGCTCAGATGGTTAAGCGTCTGCCTTCGGCTCAGGTCATGATCTCAGGGTCCTGGGATTGAGTCCCGCATTGGGCTCCCTGCTCCTTGGGAGCCTGCTTCTCCCTCTG